GCTTTTCCTTTAATAACACTCATTTGCCTAGAAATTAAACTTGAACCTTATTTTTTATGGTGGGGCACAATGAATCGGGGTACCGTGAATCGGTTGATTTACTGTGATATAAATGTTTATAAAAATTAAAATGTTTATAAAAAATAAAAATTCATTTTTAAAAATTTCTTTTGTTGTTGGTTAAATAAGTTTTATTAGGTAGAGTTTTTTTTGTGTGAATTTAGATGGTTGAATAAGTTTTGTTATCAATAAAATTTCTTTATTTTTTCAATCAGAAAAAGTTTAAATAATTTAATTTTAATTACCAAAAGTGCGCCAAAATTATAGTGTACAATGTATTTACACCCTCATCCACAAAATTATTTGGCTACGCCACCATTAACTACCACTAAATTGCAGATGAGTTAATTCTTTACTGTACCCCAGTACTGGGGTACAGTGAATCACTTAACACAACTCATTTTAAACCTTTCTGTGAGCTGTTAGATAATAAATATTTAGGTTTTAGTGATTTCTTATCATGAAGGACATATTTCTCAATCCTTTAGCCTTGACAAAAATAAAATATATATTTTAACTTTCACTCAAATTAAAAAAGAAAGAAATCCGACCCACTGTGCCCCAACTCTCCCTAAATGAAAAATATATAATTTTCAAAGACTCCGTATTAAGAAAAGGTTTAACTTTTGCATTGAAGTATTTTTGGAGATTTTATTTTCAATAGATTTAATACGATATTTCCATGATATATTTTCATCTATAATCACTCCAAGAACGTTAACAGTAGACTCTCTTTTAATAACTTTTTTGTTCATAAAGATTTTCGTCAAGTTAGGGAAAGATAAAACAATCAAATTTATAATTAGTTGGTTGGACAACAAGATTTTTTAAAAAAGGGCAATATCATAACAGTAAATGCTACTGTTGCAAGCTATGAAGTTAGTCCTCTTTAGTTACAAATTCTAAACCATTCAGTGACGGGGAAAGATTATTTAAATTTACGAATTAAATTTACGAAAAAGCTCATTGATTGGATATTGGTGTTTTTTCCAGAATTGAAAAGAATATAGCACAAAACATATTGTCATTAATTAAGCTGTTTGTAAAAAAAGTTCATTAGATAAAAAAAAAAAGAATACAAATGCTTTGAATTATTAAGATTTATAAAATACACTTTTACTAAAATATAATTTGATAAAGAAATGTTTTTGATTACTTGTTTTCTTTAATAAAAACTAACTGCTTCAATAAGCTCGGCGCAAGCCTGGTACGTAGCTCCGTTTCTATTAAACCGGTTAAACTAAATAAGCATTCTGATGGCACGGATGTTGCTGGAACTGAAAATATTATCCGTGCAATTTGTGTCAAAACCTGAAACAATTTTTGATTAGCTTGGAAAAATTCAATGGCACTATTTTCGTAACTCTGAAAGTATTGCAGACTGTAATCATTTATTTCTTTTTCAAGTTTATGATTGCTCAATTAAATTACAACAAGATTTATCTATTACTAGTTCAATTAAGTTGATTGACTTTTGCCTTTTGTTGTTAACTAAAGTAATATTATTTGGAATAGGTGGCGTTGACGATTGCTGAAATATTTTTATAGTATTGTCAGCTAAGCTGTTTGACGAGTTCAGTGTTATTTAAATGTTATTTAAACAACTTGTTTCAATTGTTATATCAATTTCTTCGGATTCTTTTAGATGCTTTTCATAAAATGTTTTTATAAACATTTTTGCCTTTGAAATGCATTCATATCTATTGATATCATTTTTGATAATCTCGACATTTGAAATCAAGAAAAGTAGCTGCTAAGAAAAAATCAATAGCAAAAATGTATTTAAAACGTCCTTTTAGAGGCCTTAATAATTCCTTTTGAAAAGTCTTAACTAGTTCTGTAAAAATAGGTTGCGATTCAAGTATTCCATTTAGTAGAGAATACAGTGTTGGAAAAAGGAATGTTACTGTAAGATATTTCTTTCCGCTAAAACGTTTTGTTAGCTCTTTAATTGGGTGTAACAAATCACACATATCCTCTAGCACCTTAAATTCAGTTGCAGTGGGAAGATAGTCTTTTGTATTTTGGAATTCAATGCTTATCATATCCAATGCAGTTTTATTTGTTAATATAGATTCAATCATATAGAATTGGCTATTCCAGCGAAAAGCTATATCCTGAACTAACTTTATTTTATTTTCATAACGAAGTGTTTCTTGAACTTCTTTTAACTTTTTTTGTAACATCTCTGAATGCTTAAATGAACCAACAATGTGCCTGCAGGATGAAACTACCTTGGCGATTTCTAATTTGCATCGTAAATTTTTTCAATTTATTTAACTTCACTTTCTGTAAATTTTCTATTAATTAATTTTCTATTACCGTTGTAATCTTTTACTTTGCAACGCTTTGACCCATTTTTAATTTTTTTTACTTTTATATCTCTTGCGTTTAGAACATCATTAACCACGAGATTCAGACGATGACCAGCATACGGAATCTTAAGAAAATTATTATCAAATTTATTTACTGCAGAGAAATTACTTGCACCTGAGTCAGTAACTGGTCCAAAAACCTTATTATCAATTGACCATTCACTGAAGATTTCGATTAATGTATTAAATGAATATTCAGCTGTTTTCATTTCAGACATAAACTTAAGATCCAGGTTTCGGTCAACTAGAGTCATATTTTTGTCTATAAAATGACAAGTCACACCGAGGTAGCTGTTTTTACCCAATGATATCCAACTATCACAAGTAATTGTAATGAAATGACATCCCTTCAATTCTAACATTAAAATTGATTTAAGATTGTTCGTAATTGATGGAATTAATTTCTTGCTCACCCTATTTATGCATGGCATTTTGTAGCTTTTGTTTAACTCGCTAACTAAGTTTACAAAATCTGGATGACGTACCATCGAAATCGGCTGATCGGTACCAACAATAAAATTCACCAATAACTTGTTTAATTTTTTATGACCATTCTCTTCAAAACCATTCTCATTACCGCTCTCAATATCGGGTATATCGTCATCGTTGAGTAAGGTTGTTGATTTTTTAGATATTTTAGAACTAATGCAATGATCAATTGATAAATGGGATCGTATTGAACTGGTCGAACTGTTGTAAGGTAAAATCTTATAGCATATGCTGCATTTTGTTTGATTCTTTTGGTCCATTTCGAAATATGTCCAAACGAAGCTTCGTTTTCTTATTCCTTTCTTAACGGATTTATTTGCTTTTGACATTGTTTATTCAAACTAAAAAGCGAGTAGTTTTTAAATAGTGGGAGGTAGTTAAACCCTTTTCTCTGCCACCACTGTGCCATAACACCAAAAATTTTAAGTATTATTTTATGTTAATTTTTAAAAATTAATTATTTATAAAAACATTTTAATAAAATTTTGTATAATTTCAGTAATAAAATAAATATAAGCAAATATTAGAATTTAATAGTAATATTTGTATATTCTGTAATACTTTCAGATTATCGAAATAACAAAAATATTTCGAAGCAAATTTTACAATTTCAAAAGTAAAAAATTTTTTTCGGTAATACTTTTAGAATTTCGATATCACAAAAATATATATCGAAGCAAATTTTACAATTTCGAAAGTAAAAACTTGTTTCGGTAATATTTTTCGATTTTCGAAATCGCAAATATATTTCGAAGCAAATTTTACATTTTCGAAAGTAAAAAATTATTTCGATAATACTTTCAGAATTTCGAAATTGCAAAAATATTTCGAAGCAAATTTTACAATTTCGAACACGCTTAAAAATAGTGTTGAGCCGTAGGCTACATTTTATCGCGTAGAATACAACAATGACTGTCGACGCCGGTTACACCAACACTATGTGGCTTTAAAAGCCACACTCAGTGTTGCATTCGTAAGGCTACATAAAATGTAGACTTGAAAGCCACACTTTGAGGCCTTTAATGCGACACTTTTGTTGAAATTTTTTCGACATAATTGTTGCATTTAATCAATGGCTGTTCATTTACGCTCTATTTGCGCGACAAAACTGTTGTAAAAAAACCTCAAAATTAGTGTTGCGCTAAATGCAACACTATAGTTTATACACTAATCTGTATTTTTCTAGACTTTATAAATGTTTTGATTTTTTGTAAGTATATTTATGCGTGATTTATTCCGCCCATTTAGGTCTTCAGGTACTATGTATATAACCGGGCGCAATTAAATAATTCAAATAAAGAATTCATATCATATACTAAATTACACATTGTCATTTAGAGTCATTTAGAGTTATATTATTATATTATATTGGCTTACAAGAAATAACGGAACGATAAAAAATAAAAACAATAAAATTTTTTTTTAAGATTTTTTTCTCGGAGGATTATTTCGGGGGGATTTTTTCCCGGGGGATTTTTTCCTAGAACCATTGCAATCTCTGTTAAATTAAAGCAAAAGTAAACGAGTAAAAGTTAAAAGATCATACTGTCCCGGCGATCAATGCGCCCCCATCTCCCCTACCATAGTATTTAATACTATGACCATTACAATAGTATTTAATACTATGACCATTACAATGGTATTTAATACTATTATATATAATAGAAAACACCAAAAAACTAAAATTTTTTAAAAATTCATTTAATCGTCAAATTTATTAATTTAAATATAAAATTTAGAATTAAATAAATTAATAACTTTTTTCGAAAATTTAAGATAAATTTACTAAATTTTAATAAATTTATCTTAAGTTTTTGACTAGCACATTAATGATGAATAAAACTTTTCATTGTTTATGGGACGGTCAGACTAAAATGAAAATAAGAGCAATAATAAATAGTTTTATGTTTTATGATCACCTAGTGTTGCTAAAACACTTATAAAGGTTTTTATTAATGTTTAAATTTTACTACTAATTTTTATATTTAATAATAAGCACTAAATATATATTCTATTTAAAGTAATAATAGTATCTCATTTTATAAATATAAAAAGTAGAATAAATTTTGATTTTAGCTAATTCCTTTAAACGAAGAAATATAGTATTAGCAACAAACTTTGATTCTTCTAACTCACTTGGTAAGCTATTGGTTTCTGATATACTTAGCAAGTTACCTTTGGATAAATACCGAGTAAGCCTCTATTCAACAAATGGAGTTTTCCAGCAGTTTTTTGATTTTCAATCCAGAGCATGTTTACTAAAGGTTTTAAGGTACTTTTTAAAAACAAATTAGGTTAAAAAAATAGTAAAATAGTTTTAAACTTTTAATTCTTAGGTCTTATATAATAATAAATTTGATTTTTTTCTTTTAAATCTTTGATCATTTTTGCATGATAGTGTGAATATAATTTTTTATTATTTAATGGCTTATATAGTTTTAAAACTTAATCTGTATCATTCGAAGATGTTTTTATATACAGAATATAATTTAAACAAGTTTAAATTATATTTCTGCATATAAAACATACAGAAATATAATTTAAACTTGTTTACTGAAATAAGGAGTTACGATGGCTTTAGTATGTACATCGACTGATTTAGGAAAAGATTTAGGGAGACGCTGCTACATTGGCTGAGGGTATAGGTTGGGGTAGCAATATTTATTTAATTTTATTTTATAAATTTACCTTCACCTCACAACCATCACATGGTGGTTTTGCTACCACTACATGGTGGCTCAGTTGGTTAGAAAGTCAAACAAAATGTTAAAACCCAAGCTTTTCTACAATACGAGTTCAAATCCACCAAAACCCCTTAAACGCTTTAGTTGTACTTTGGTTCACAAAAATATTTGTCAACAACGGATGCATGTTTGGTTTAATCTTTATGACTATTTGCGACTGTTCTTTTGCTTAGCCAGCAATATCTTTGGATATAAGAGCATTGTATAGCAATATATAGAATGAAATTTAATGAAAGAAATAAAGTTTATAAATAAATATACTGTGAATTCGTTTATTTCTTGCTTGCTAACTAAGTTCAGTCAACAAATTAATGAATTCACTTTTAATAAAAGGTGTATACCACTCACCGAACGTAACCATGCTGCATCTTCAACCATCACAATTGGTAGAATTAAACCAAGTCCTATAGGTGATACATCATGGTAAAGCTGCGCCTCTCCGTTTGGTGGTAGCAACCATTTTTTTACTGACCGAGTTTTTTTTTTTCACCTGGTAGAGTAATTCCTTAAATTTTTTTTTTGCAATTTTTGGAAGTACAATCATCCCAATAAATAAAATATATGGAAAAAAATGTATCTAGTTCAAGCTAAACGTTTGATGTACGCAATTTGTATACAAATTGCGTACATCAAACGTTTAGCTTGAACTAGATACATTTTTTTCCATATATTTTATTTATTGGGATGATTGTACTTCCAAAAACGTGACCTACCTGTCACTGGATAATGTTCAATAAATTTATCTAACTGGCAGAAGAGCTGTGATCATGTGACTGCATTTGTAGATTCGAAACCTACTAAAATGTTACGCATCCACATCAGTTCATACCTTTTATTCCTTTCAACTTTAATCTTTAAACATATCTTTTTTGGAGATCTTCTGAAAGTTTACATTGTAATCAAAATTTATGCAGATACTTTGATAAATTATTTTATTTTCGAAACTCTCTTTAATAAATATGTCATTAATCTAATTTCACATGCTTTTTTCACGGTTGAGTTTGCATGGAGTTCATGAAAAAGTATAGTGATTATTATCGTGATAACCAAAGCTATCTTATGATCAAGAATTCTTGCATTTTTTTAATATTCTCCACTGGCGTAATTTCTTTTGACAAAAGCCTGCTTTTGTTGTATGACAATTCACATACTCTTGAAGGTTGGAAGTTTCTTTTTAGGTTTTCTATCTTTTTAGATCTATCTATAGTTTCTTTCTATCTTTTTGACTTTGTTTTCTTACACAACGCACATGAGTGGAATCAATACTTTAAGTGTTTCCAAAACTAGTACTTCATATGGTACAAAAATGCCAGAAATGATCCATTCATTATTTTCTTTCCCGTAGCCATGTTTTTTGTCTTTTTGCAGCTTGTATTTATTGATGATGTTATTGATTGCAGTTCAGTTCCACGATGCCATCTACTTTTTCTGATTCAAGGTTGATTAAAACTTTGCTATAAAATTTTGATGTTTTATTTTGTTTATTTTGCCATCTTTTATTCTTGTTGTAGTAACAACAGTACAATTTGCCAAAGCACATGCTTTCATTCAGAGAGGCAGTTTTTATGACCATAGATGACAGCTCCTCTGAATCTTTTGATCATTACCATTCAAAAAATAAATTACAATAGTACATTTAATAAAATTTCTTGATCTACTAGAATTAAATCAAAACTCATTTTGAATCCTAGTTTATAAAGCACACAGGTTTGAAATTTTTTACGACTGACCTCTTTGTCTTGTCTTGAAGTTTAAGAAAAGTTGCCAAAGGAGTTGACTGTATCTTATGGTAAATGATGTAAATGAAACTTTCAAGGCCATATCTTAATAAACTTTTTGCAAATTGTCACTAAAAAGTTTTTCTTTGCTGTTTAGTTTAGCAACTTAAGTACGAAGTTTTTTTTTGCTGTTTAGTTCAGCAACGTAAGTACGAAGGTTTTCTTTGCTGTATAGTTTAGCAACGTAAGTACAAAGGTTTTCTTTGCTGTTTAGTTCAGCAACGTAAGTACGAAGGTTTTCTTTACTGTTTAGTTCAGCAACTTAAGTACAAAGTTTTTCTTTGCTGTTTAGTTTAGCAACGTAAGTACGAAGGTTTTCTTAACTGTTTAGTTCAGCAACTTAAGTACGAAGGTTTTTTTTTGCTGTTTAGTTTAGCAACGTAAGTACGAAGGCTTCTTTGCTGTTTAGTTCAGCAACTTAAGTACAAGGTTTTTTTTTGCTGTTTAGTTTAGCAACGTAAGTACAAAGTTTTTCTCTTTGCTGTTTAGTTCAGCAACTTAAATCCACTAAAATCTTATTCGGTAGACTAGATTTGTTTTTGCAATCATCGCTCAACAATGTTATGGAACAACAATTTACATTAAGTAAAACATTAAATATTGGTGCACCTAATGATAATCACGAATATAAAATAACTTTTGAAATCTCAAAACATAAAATGAAAAGAAGTTCTAAAAAATGCTAATAGGCAGTAAAAATCTCACTGTTTTTTTAAATCTAATATAGGTTTTTACATAAAACAAGATTTTAGTTTGAGATCATTAGAAGTTTATATTATTATTTTAGTTGCTATAATATTTATTTATTTTCCTCTAAAAAAAATTAAGGTTAAATTTCTGGGTACAGAACAACAAGATCCTTAACAACTATATTTCTTTTAGTAACAAGCAACCAAAACAAACTAGTTTAACAAATGCCTTAAAACAAGCGATGCAGGAAATTGAATATAGCTTCAATGATGAAAAAAACTTTTTTGTTATTGTCACAGATACCTACTTGGATGAATCATCAGTTGAATTTTTGAAAAGTATACGCAGGTCAAATTTAAATGAAGGAATATATATTTTGCAAATTGGAAAAGTGATACAAACTTATTTTCGCAAAGAAGATGGTTTCAATTGGATATCTATTAACTCAACAACTATAATAAATAATCTTCCATTCATTCAAGGTAAAACTTTAATTTCAACAAAAATGGAGAAGTTATTCTAAAAGTAAATCAAAAAATGTTTTTTAAATTTTGAATTCAAAATTATATTTAAATAATAATAGTTTTAAGGGTACACTAAAAAAAGTATGAAAATTTTTAAAATTTCAAAAATAATTTCAGTAGCATATTTTATTAATGTTTTAGAATACCTTAGGGAATGCAAGAGCAAATAAATTGGTATTTTTGTTAGTTTTTTTTGTCTTCTTTAGTCAAAATAGAGTGAGAATAAAGCTTCAAGTTTTTCTCGTGTTAGGTTGGATAGCGCTTTGTTCCGCAGATAATTTACCCGAAGAGTTAATAGAGGAACTTGCACGTGAGCTGGATTTAAAAATGAAAATTAGTGAAGGTGATAGTCCTAATAAAAATATAAGATTAATTCTGAAAATTTAGTAACTTTCATTAAATCTAATTTTAGAACTTTCATGACTATCTATCTGCTTAAAATACCATAAAGGAGCTTCAAGTAAGATAAAGCAACTTATACATTGATTAACAAACTTCAAAATTGATTCACAATTTTTGATTAACAAAGTTCTAACATCTCATCTTGAGTCAAATAACTTACTGTCTGACAACCAATATGGTTTTTGATCTTCTTGTTCTACGGCTGACTTGCTAACTGATGTGACTGAAAAATTCTATTGTGCATTAGATGAAGGCGGCGAGGCAAGAACTTTTGCTCTTGACATGTCAAACTTTATTGAAGGCTTTAGATATCTTTCGATAAAGTTTGGCATGCTGGTCTTCTCCATTAGTTTGCTTCATATTTTGTATTTAGGAAAGTTTTTTAAGTCATTAAACTATTTTTTTCTAACCTATTTAATTTTAGTCATCCTCGAAAGCCAATAGTGTTCTTTATTTCCAGGAACTTCAAAGATACTTCAAGGTTCTATCCTTTGTCTTTTTTTGTTTCTTATCTACTTTAATGAACTTCCTGACAACCTAACATCTTTTTTTTTTTTTTTTTTTTTATTGTTATTTAGGTGCTCCAAGAAGACCTTACGGTCTTGTCACAGAGCACCGCGGAAGTGCATTTAACCAGGAAGTTCACGCCTCCTTCCTTACCGTGACGCTAAAATATGTCCAAGGCTCGTTTCAAACCTGGATCTCCTGCTTATAAAGCAAGCGCTCTAACCACTACGCCACGGCCGCACTTAAAGTGGCTCTATTTACTGACAGCTCAACTTTATACTCCTGTCTTGACAAAAGTTCTTCTTTCAATTGCTTAGAATATGCAGCTGGTCTTGAATCTGATCTCATTCTGTAAAAGATTGGGACTTGCAGTGGCTTGTTAATTTTAACTCTAACAAAACTTAGTTATCTACCGCAAATAACTATGGCAATACTCCCGACATTATTATATTAATGAATAACAACTCTCTCACTAAGTCCTCTTCTTTATGTCTTTTTGGATTATCATTGACTTATAGTCTCTCATGGAAACCATGCACACAATCATATTTAGCATCTCCTAAGATTGCTTGTTTCTACCGTACTTGCCAATATCTTACTCCCAATTCCATTCATTACCTCTAAAAATTTCTTATTCGAATCTATATGGAGGCGAATAAGAGATTTGTGGAGATAACATATTTTTGTCATACTTGGGCTGGTCCTTCTAAAAATGCTCTTGCTATTTTATGCAAGGTCTAAAAACATATTGTAATCTTAGTTTGACCTGCTTTATTTTCCAAGTTTGAGCCACTCTCGCTTTGTAATAAAATTGCATCGCTTTCTTTTTTTTACAAATATTATGATAGTCGCTGATGCAAACAAATACTATGATGGTCGCTGATACAAACAAATACTATGATGGTCGCTGATACAAACAAATACTATGATGGTCGCTGCTCAAAAGAGCTACAATCTCTAGTTCAAAGGAGTTACAAAGTTCTTTTGCTCAAAAAAGAAATTATCAACGTTCCCCTTAATCAAAGATCATTCTAGCTTAATTCATCATTCAGTAAAGTTTTATTTTTTTTACAGTACCTGTCCCTGCGTGCTCTAAAAACTTTTATTTGCATCGTTTTTCTTCACACTTCAACCACTTAAAGTATGTTTGTTTATTACGCTTCTAGCTTTATATAAAACTTCAAATTTCTTTTTGCATTTTTATTGCATAAGTGTCCAATATATTATTGAAAACCAAACCTTGAACCTAATTAAACTTTAATACTCTTAAGCTATGAAGCTTAAATTTACACAAATCAAGTAAAAGAACTGTCTTTTAACCAATTTTTTTTTCTGGTTGCATTTTATGTCAAATTAAGATCTTTTTAATATGTAAAAGAAAAACTAAATATCAACAAACTAAACAAGAACCAAATAAACAAGCCAATCCACAAGAGATTGAAGTAAATATGCCAATCAATAAGAAATTGAAGTAAACAAGCCAATCAACAAGAGATTGAAGTTAACAACCAATCAACAAGAGAATGAAGCAAACAAGTCTAACTTCCTCAGTTCACAGCAATCAATCGAATTCAGTGGGCTATTAAAAAACACTTATCTGCAAAGTAGTTACTTATAAATAATATTTGGAATATATTCCAAAATGTTGCTGCAAAACAAATCTTAAGTCCGTTTTTGCTGTTCTGAGAAAAAGGCATTTAAAGTTTTAAAATTATCACAGCATTTGATCTTTAGGATTAAACCTAACTGTTTTCAGTCTACTTACAGAAAATTATATTATTTTTCATAGTATAACAAAAAAAAAGTTTTAAAATTAAAGTTTAAACAATTTAACAGGTCATCTCAACATAAGATAGTCTTAAAAAGATATTAAATACGGAAAACTCTACAAATTAAGTATCTAAAGTCAATAAATTTTATTTAAGTATTTAATTCTCTATCATTTTATTTAGTTTGTTAATTAGTACTAATAATAATGAAATTTATGCAAAATGAAGTTTAAAAACCATTATTTAACTAAACGGATAGTTTTATAAAATAATCATTTAGTGACGGAACCATTAACATCTAATAAACTTAAAAAACACTTAAGATAAGTAAAATAAAACAAGTGATACAAGTAACAAAATTTTCATTATAACAACAATCATTTTGTAATATCTAGCTTCTGCCAATTATGTACTTTTCGTTTTCTTAACTGCTGGAAACAGACTGTATAGAATCTTTTTCAATTATTTGATGGTCTGCTTTGTAATGATTTTTGGGTTGTTGTTTGGTACTATTTTTTGTATTTCATCATTGCCATGCAACTTACTCGAATCTTTAGGTTTTGGTAGAAATGATGATGTTGTTTTGGAATGTAACCTTTGTTGCATAGAGAAAGGAGATCCATTTTTTTTAAGTGCATTAATTCCTTTTGGAGCTAGATACTTCTGCTTTTGTAACTGTACATCTGGTGCTGCTATAAGCGAGCTGTTCTTTTTGCTCAAAAAATACAACTTTTATATTCTTCTTCATAATTATATTTAAAGTAAAGAATATCCGGATTTTCTTTTAAAACCTTTAGTTGTACAATACTGGCCTATATAACTTTTGTTGGTTTAGATTTTGGATCATTTGCTATTGTTGAATTTGATATTTTAAAGCATTTGTTTGCTAATACTGCAGAGTATGCTGGAAATGCTTTTTTATTTTTAATTTATTATATCATTATGAATCATGATGATATAATAATTTTTTTTTTTTATTATTTATTATTTATTATTTATTTTTGCCGTTTAATATTACAATAACTAAATATATTTTACAATTTTTTACATTAGTAACGACAGGACTTCTAGAAGATCATGAGGATCTTGTCATGAAGCCCTTTACAATATATGGTTAACTTTTAATAAAAATACAATGTCTGTAGTGAAATAATAATACACCTCTATGCAAAAATAACCAAGATAAAAAACCAAGATAAAATGTTAAAAAGTCAAGATAAAATTTTAAACCAAATAATATACAAAATAAAACAACTACAAAAACAAGACAAAAAAAAAGGCAATTAAAAATAAATCAAGATATTTTCAATTAAAAATATAATTTTTTTAATTTTAAAAATGAAAATCATGATTCATGATTTAACACAGTTAATAAACAAGCGTTTTTTTTAAAAGCTTGTTCTCTTGTTGTTTCCCATTGCATAGGTGTGCATATTGTTCGATTTCAATATTGTTTTTCAATTATTGAGTGGGCGACATCCTTTTCACTCTGACTATGTCCCGGTACAAAAAATGTAAGCTCAATTAAATCTAATTTGAATAGAGTCAATGCATCCAACAACATTACGTTGTTGGATGCATTGACTCTATTCAAATTAGATTTAATTATCATCATTCTATTTTGATTTTGGCCCCAATATCAATCACAGAAGAGAAAAAATTGTGTTGCTTTTTCTTTGCTTTCAGATTCAATAAATTTAAATACTCCTGTACTTACTTCACAGCTTCACAGCTTGCTTTTTTCCCTTTATTCTTGTTCCACAAATATGAAGATGTCTGTAAATAATCAATTTTTGTAACAGTGAGGTCATAATTTTGCAGACGCCTTGAATAATAAAAAGCTCCAGTTCTACCATATGTTGATAAAAAAACTTGCTTTAAGTCAAAAGCTGCAGTTACAATCAATTGTGATTTTATTGCTTCATTATTCTTTTCCTTTTTATAAGCTCAAGTAAATCTTTTTTTGCTGACATGTTTGTTATACTTTTGACAATCTTTACCATCCTTTTCTATTTTGTTTGTGAAATTTTTACAAATTCCAAACTGATCTTTATTAAGTTTTTGGAATTTTATATGAAATCTATCTTTAAAAACTCTCTGATAGAACTTGTATTCCTCTAAAAGAAGATTATTCTCTTTTGCAGTACTTTATGAAGAGTCTATGTAATTCCTTAGACAAATTGAGCAATCAAGGCATAATTCGTTTATGTCAAAATGAAACATAAACGTTGTCAAGGTAAGTGTTACAATGTTATTTTAAAAACAATTTACGCTTTATCTATATCATTAACTTTAGTTACGCTTTATCTATATCATTAACTTTAGTTACGCTTTATCTATATCATTAACTTTAGTTAATAAAAATAAATTAAAAAAATTAAGGCACGATTAATTTTTCTATCACAAAAAAAAAACTTAAAAATGGATAGAAACGTAACCGCATGTTTTTCAGTTTGTAGCTTGTATTTAAAATAACATTTTTTTTTTTGTTTAAACATTGGTAACGTTGTTTTATATGCATAAGTTTTTTTTTCCTTTAAAAAAAAATGATGTTACGGTTAGGATAATTGCTGATAGATGTTATTTTAATGACGTATACTTCTTTGGGATGCTTTTTGCAACGCGTGTTTATTTTGCAATACTTTAGAAAAAGTGCTCGGTAGCAAAGTTGTTAAAAAGGCCAAAAGGAGCATGGCCAAGCGCAAAAGTTACAAAGTCAAGGATTTTTAAGGCCAAAGACTTAAATTTTTGCCTAACGTTAAGGCCAATTATTAACAAAACTGTAGGTAACAATTGCTCTGACAATAAACCACATGTTATAAAAATAAACCAAGGTTATGCGCAAAATTCTACGAAGTCAATAGGAAAAATACTTGTTGATATATATGAAAGCTAAAAACAAAAATACATAAAAAGAAGGAATGAAAACCTTTAATTCTTTAATTTTTTGTATTTTTTTTTTTGAAGGCCTAGGCCGAAACAATTAAGGTCAAGGCCAAAATTTTCACGGACAAGATTTTCAAGGCCAAAGCCTTTATTTTTAGCCTTAAGAGAAGACCAAGGCCAAGAACTAACAACTCTGCTTTGTAGTTACTAAGTTTTCGTTTGGTATGGTAACAATATCCTGACCTGATCTGAGAATTCTTTACTTTATTTTGAAAAATACTTTGCAAAAATTAAGAATAACAAAACGTTAGTCATCTTGCTCTGGGTTCCCCTATACTTATTCAAATTTCAAAAGATCTTAATAGGATAGTTTGACATGTGACAAATATCACATAATAATACTACAAGGTGTGAAAATGTTTCAGATAAGTGTAATGTTATTATGTTTTAAAGGAATATTAATTGAAAGTTAAAATGAGTTTTTTTAATCTAAATTTTGTCATTTTACTTTGGAAAAGTTTCTTGTTAAAAAATCAATAATAAGATTTCAAGGCATCATACTAAATTATTGAAAAAGTAAATATTTTAAAGAGTTGTTTTGTAGCAATAGCAATATAATTAAAGCAGCCTACGCCAGGAATATTTTTAAAAAAATCAATAAGATTTTCGCAGCTGATAGAAAATGCTCAATGAAACAGTTACTTTCATCGCAGTATTTAATATGGAATGGTAAGTTTATGAAAAATTGCAAAAATTAGCAAAATCCAATAATTTTATAACCCCTTTAATAAACTTCCATAACTCTTAATTCCAATGAAAAAAACATGGGATAACATCCTAGACAAATTTATGCGGGAAAAATATTTACAAATGATTACGATAACATAATAAAATTATAAAAATTTATTAGCTAAAAATTAATTTACATTTACTTTGTTTTTAAATCTGTCCCTTAACGTTTACCTCTCCTAGATTGGAAGTTACTTGTCTTTGCAGTCAACATCAGAGATTGAGTTTACCTAAAAGATAATCTTTTACCGCTTGTAACCAAGAAGCTTAGCTTGTCATTCCTAAAAAAAGGACAATTATTTACTAGAAAATAATAATGTAGTATGCATTTATTAAGTTTTTTTAAATTAGTAAATTAAATATGCAAATATTTTATTAAAACATTTTATTTAAAAATCTTTGTATTCAAAATAAATAATAAGAAAAAGGTAATACTAAGTTAGTTAAAAATACTCTTGTAATCTGAAATGGATTCAATAACCTCAAGTGTCTTAATATCACACAAATGAATATTGCAAATCTAAAAGAAACCATAGTCATAAAAAGTATAGTCTGGAAACGCAGGCCGTTTTAATTGTTTTCATTGTATAAGTTGAAAATCGGGTGGTCTTTGTAAATAAGGTGCAAAACAAACTTTTATGATGGCTGAAAGTTCAAAAGATTTGAATAATTTTGAGACTATTTTTGAGTTGCATCAAGACGAGTGTGATTCTATTTTTAAAGTTATTGACCAGGATTTGTTAAATGACGTTGCCGAAGAACAATATGCATCAGATATTCCACAAATAACACTTTCCTGTCAATTTTGTAACAAGAAATGTTTGAGCTCAAGAGGTCTCACTCGTCATGTAAATAGTAAACATTCCGATGTTTTATCAAGTCATTCTAACGTTTCATCAGATATTAGAAAAACAAAAATATCAAAAGAAATTCTTGATCTTGAACAAGCAACAAGAGCAACAAGTTGGTAAAATATTTTTGTACATTTCTCAACTAGGTTTATATTCATTGATAAACTTTAAATGTCATAGTGAAATATTTTAGCGCTCAAAAATTAAGACCTTACAAAGTTCGAACCTTTCTCAATTTAAGGGGGTTACAAATTTAATATGGTCATAATTTTTGAACATTAAAAGATTATATTATAAAACTTAAAACTTATTGATAAATATGTCTAGTTGAGAATAATACAAAAAATATTTTATCAATATTTTATATTTTTCTCAGGTTTGGGACAGGGTGGAAGAAAATTTTAAAGCTTTTTTGTTCCCAGGCTATATATATATATATATATATATATATATATATATATATATATATATATATATATATATATATATATATATATATATATATATATATATATATATATATATAGTACAATGCTTCAGGCATTGTACTTATAGTTAAACTATATATCAAGTACAATGCTTCAGGCATTGTACTTATAGTTAAACTATAAAAAATTGTTTGTTTTGCACCTTAAAGTAGACTGGGTACAAGAACCTAACATCAACGCAAAAACTATTGTTCCCAGGCCGTGTTTCCAGACTATTTATTCTTATGACTATGAAGAAACTAAAAGTTTTTGATTAAATATTTAAAGTAGCGATACTTTAATAAAGTAGTCTTAAAATTGAAAAAACAATTTACAATTTTTTAAAAAGCTTCCTTAATATATTCAGTTTAAAAACTCTACATATAACTCTAATATAAAATTGAGCAAACTCTAGTCTAACAAAAGTAAAGTTTAATCTAAAACTAAATTAATAACAAGCTAAAATACTGACTCAAATAATACTAGACTTAAAATACTATCCATTTTTTTCAAAAAGGCGATTGATTTTTTAGATTTAATTAAAATATTTTGATACAGTAAATGTCCTCACAAAACACAAACTTCAGAAAATAGTGATCCACAATAAAAATTAAAACCAATAATTTTTTTTTTTTGTTTAAATTATTTTTATAGGGTTTATTATATTTTATAGGGATTATTATATTTACAGGGATTCTGAAATAAGTTCTTTAAACATAAAAAATAACTGAAAACTTGATGTTTTATCACATGTTGTCAACGTATTACATATTGTAAATAAACATTCACATATATTGTACAAGCTTATAATATAAGTATTTTCTAAAGACACAAAACAGAATCATTATTTTAATGCACAAGGACAGAGATCATCACATTGGAATGATATTGAGCAGGTTTTTATATCATATAAAATTTGAACCATTATCAGAGGTTACATTACTTATTAATACCCAATGAGAATTCCTCACATTAAATATCTGAACAAACTTTCCAGAAACAAAACCACCAAAATTATTTGAATTAAAAATACAAGAACTTTGAAACCCACCTACTTTAGGAAACTGATGCAAAAGAAAACTTTGTGCAATATCAATTAAAGTATCATCTAGCCAACCAAATGGATTACTTAAAATATCTATACATTGTTTGATTGACTGTGCTGATAATGTTGAATAAAAATTGCTATCTAGAGAAGTTGCAGGATAAATCAATCTTTTACGTTTTAAAATGCTTTTATCGTCAGATAGAGATGATATAGAGATTTCCATTTTAACAGATTTATATTTTTTATCTTTGTCATAACATTTCAATTCTGATATGTGCCTCTTTTTAGAACTCCTTTTTTTAAATCTTCTTTTTTATATGATTGATTTGTCATTTTCAAACAATAATCATGTTCTTTTAAAAGCAATTCTGCCGGCAATACTTGCTTATCAACTATATAAGGCTTCTTGTTGGATAAAGAAACAGCTTTTTTCCAAACCTTACCATTGACAGTTAGAGTAGCACCAGTTTGTTTCAACTCTGAAATGATTCCAGGTCCCAACCAATCATTTTCCATCCGACTTCCTTTACGACCTATTTTTTTGTAATTTCTAACTCAAACTTGATCGCCTGTTTTAAATGTAAATGATTTCCATCCTTTAAGTTGTTTTGAAGCATAATACTTTTTCATTTTTGTTTGGGCATGACAAATATTGTTATTTACTTCTGTAACAACTTTATTATATGAACCCAATTTTTCTTGAATTCGCTCATCCAATGCATTACTTTCAACAATGTTATCGTCATTAGTACCAGAATTACTACTATTCAGTGATAAAGTTGAGAACAAGTTTGCTTCTCTGCCAAACATTAAAAAAAAGGGTGTAAATTTAGTTGACTGCACACGATATGAATCGATATCAATTCATGTTTTAATTTAATTTGCCTAGTAATTAAGTTCAAGAAATGTATGACACTTAAAAGAACTTAAAAACCTTATAGAAATTAAAAAAGTACTATTATAAAAAGACAATAATATTACCTAGCCAGTAGAAAGAACCTTTTAATATTACTCTTGTGTTGTTAAGGCCAACATGAGCCCCATGATTAGAATCATGGACATCTTTAAAGGCTAACATTTTTTCAATGTCATTAAAAAAACTTGCAGGTTTTTTGACGCTGTTACATTGTAAAACTTACCATTTGAAGTATATATTAAGTTAGTGATTATTCAATAAAAATAATTATTGTTTATTAAAAATAATTATTACTTATTCAACAATTTATTATACAACGATTACATACCACATAGTTTGAATTTTTTTGCATATTTTAAAAATGATTTACACTGTGATTTAGAGCAATTTATTTCTCCTTTAGAAAGATAAAGCTTGATATCTTCAACAGAATAACTGTGAGCTGACATTTTATAATAAACTTTAAATGAATTAAATAGTTAAATGTGGCTAAAATTGAAATCCAAATAAACTTTTACTGTACCTAACGAAACGAGGTTAACGATATATGTTACTTACCTAACGGACACTTAACAGCATATCTGCGCATGTGCATACGCATGCGCAGAACTGTTTGTCCACTTATTTAACGGGCTATTTATTAAACGCAACACCGGTTTTAAAAAACCTGTTTAAAGTTGTAATAATTTATGCCTTTAAAATGCTGCGTACCAAATTGTTACTCAAATTATAAGTCTTCAGATTGTAAAATATCTGTAAACAAATTTCCTCGTGAAATATCTGAAAAAAAACAAGTGGTTTATGAGTATTCCTCGCTCACACTGGACTATAACAAAATATAGCGTTGTTTGTAAATTGCATTGGCCAGAAGATGCTGAGTTTACTTTATATCGTGGTAAATTAAGACCAATTAATCTTCCATCAGTGTTTCCAAATATATCTAAAAGTTGTCTATCCTCTCCACCACCAAAAATGAGAAAAACTTTATCTTCTTCTTCAAAAAGAGGTATCGAAAAAGATGAATTAGAAGATTATAGAATAATTGATAATTTAAAGTTTGAAGATATTGAAAAATACTTATCTACTGAAAATGATATAGTTACTTACAAGCATAAAAATTCTATTTTTATTCAGTCTAAAGTTTTTAATTGTGGGGTTCCACTATTTTTCCTGATAATTAATCAAAGTATAATGTTTAAAGCATTTCATTATGGTTCAAAATGTGTCGTTAAACCTCTTTCGAAAAATAGAATAACTTCATTTAATACAAAGCTTTAAATGAAGCTCTTAGATATCTAAAAGTTAAAGATAAGGATCATAAAACCGAAGTATTATTTCAGCATCTAAATGTAATGGGAGATCATTCTGTTGGCTTAACTGTATATTCACCTGATATAATAACCAGGGCTTTTGAATATTTTGCAACAAGTTGTTCCACTTACAATCAATTGTGTTGTGATTATCAGTTGCCAAGTGTTCGAACTTTAACTCGTATTAACTTCAAAAATAAATTCTCAAGATGATTTGGTTTTTTTAAGTTCTGTGCTATTAAACCTTGAGGAAAAAAAATAAATTGTAAGAAAATATGAAACCAACATCTAATAAACGAGTTCGCCAGCTTACAAAAGATACAAGCAATGCACTTTCACATACCTGTCGTGGCCTAATTGATTTATCTTGCTATCTTTTATCAACTGGAAATGAATATGTAATTTTAGGTTGGTTTTCTTCGGATCCGATTGAAAAATGCTTTGGAAAATTAAGTCAAGGATCAGGTGGTACCATGACCTACTTAAATACACGGCCTTCTAATCTGCTTAAATCGAAAAAAAATAGAAGGCCAGTTGAAATAACGTATATTCTATTATATGGACAGACTCTCTCGAAATATTTTAAATATTGCGCTATAAATGTTAAGTAAGTAAATCTGACACCGGATGAAAGTTTTTGCGTTAGATTAATGCCAAACTGTATTTTTATTTGTGACTACTTTTTAATTATTAATAATAATAATGGTTAATAAATGCTGTGTTGTTGGTTGTACCTCTAATTATAATGGTGGTGAAGTAGTCCCAGTTTTTGGTTTTCCAAAAGATGATGACTTAAGAAAGTTATGGGTTAGATTTGTAAACAGAAATTTCTGGACTGTCACTAAATCATCTGTGATCTGTTTAAAACATTTTGATGAAAGTTTAATACACAAAGGAGCATCAGCAAAACGATTTCGTTTGTTGTATAATTTGAAGCTTGTTCCTACAATATATCCGGCTAGCATAGCAACGGCTTCACTTCCAGTTATGTCTGTACCAAGAAAATCACTAAAAGAATTTTTCAAGAAGATGAATATCAGAAATTTTTATCAAATGATGTTATTGAAGATCTTAATTCTCTTACAGTTGCTGATTCACCAACAGGATATTCATTTTCCAAATTTGATGATTGTGTTGTGTTCCATAAAATTATTCAAAATGAACTTCACATACCTCAAGTTGCTGAATGTATTCGTATTGACAAAAATCTTCACGTTAAACTTTTTTATAAAAATCTTCCAGTTTCTTTACCACCTTGGTTTAGAGTAACCCACCAATGTGTGTTAAAGAGAAGGAGTATGCTGGAAAACTTCAATTCACATTTTAGCATCGAAAAAGAGAAGCTGTCTTCTATTCTTGAAGAACTTAAAAGTCACCAAGTAAAAAAAAATCAAATTTATTCTTCAAATATGCTTCAATTTGCCTTGATGCTGCATTACACATCATTGCAAACATATAATTTACTGCTGAAGGAATTCCCACTTCCATCTATATCACTGTTAGGCAAGCTTAAAGCAGGTGAAATTGATTATATGAAAGTTTTAAAGTTGTTACATGAAAATGGGAGCTTATCAAAAGATCTTTTAATAGTTTTTGATGAAATGTATTTGCAAAAATGTGCTGAATATTCTGGCGGAGATATAATTGGGATTAGTGAGGGAAATGAATGTTATAGAAGCATTGTTTCCTTCATGGTAGTTGGTTTAAAAGAAAATATCTCTTGTGTCGTCAAAGCAGTTCCAATTATAAAATTAAACAGTGATTGGTTGAAGACTGAAATTCTTAACCTGATTCAATCTTTAATAAAAAGTAGTTTTAATGTTCGAGGTGTTGTTTGTGACAATCATGCTTCAAATGTTTCCTCTTTTACAAAGTTGCTTAATGCACATGGTAAAAAACCTGATGATTTGTTTATTAATGTACAATTGCGAAAAGTTTACCTATTCTTTGACACAGTGCATCTGATTAAAAACATTCGAAACAACTTACTAAATAAAAAAAGGCTTATTTTTCCAGAATTTCATTTTTCAGGTTTTAAAGATGAAATTCATGTTTAACCAGGAGAAATATCATGGAAAATATTTCATGATTTATTAGAAAAGGACAGCCTGTTGGATGCAAGTTTAAAAAAAGCACCAAAAATAAATAGCAAAGTTGTCCATCCTGGAAACTACAAGCAAAATGTCACTATTGCTTTAGGTATCTTCCATGAAACTACAGCAGCAGCAATAAAATCATATTTTCCCGACCGTTTAGATATTGCATCTTTCTTAACTCTTTTTAATAAATGGTGGATAATTACAAATTCAAAAAATCAGTTTTCTAACAACTGTCTTGGAAATGCTGCTATAATTAATGATAAAAAACCTGAATTTTTTCGAGCTTTCACTGACTGGTTAAATAAATGGAAAAACACAAAAATTCCAAATTTTGAGAAATATACAATATCTCCTCAAATGTTATCAGCACTACAAAGAACTTTATTATGTCATGCTTTATTAATAGAAGATCTGTTAGAAGATAATTATAAATTTATATTGACTGCTCGTTTTCAAAGTGATCCCTTAGAAAGAAGATTTGGACAAGACCGCCAAATGAGTGGTGGCAGGTTCCTTGTCAGTTTGAAAGATGTTATTTATAGTGAGAAGATAATCCAAATAAACAGTTTAGTAAAGGAAGGAATTCAAATTTTCGAAAATGATATTAATGCTGTAGAAGATACACAACATGCTAGATACTTGATGAATCAGATCAAAGAAAGAGATTTAGATTGTGTGACTTTATCAGATGATTCTCGTGAAGTTGCTAGTTATATTGCTGGTTTTATTGCCAAAAAACAGAATAAGAAGTTTAAAATATGTTACAAATTGCTTTGTACTCAACATTGTCAACAGGAGTTGAATGATTATAATTATTTAAATATATTGTCCAGAGGTGGGCTAAAAACTCCATCATTACCCCTTTTAGAATATGTCTGTGATAGTTTTGCTATGCTAGATCATGTATTTGATGTTATTTATCAGTCTCGAATGCAACACCGTAAAGCAGCAAAGTTAGTTCTTGGCAGTAGAGAAGGTTACCAACCATTTTTATGTTTAAATCACCAAAATTGTGAAAAAGAAATTATACACACTATTATTTCAAATATTTATTTTAATAACATCAGAAAGAGAGTCTGTGATTCCATTGTTGCAGATAACATTGTTGTCTTTAAACAAAAACAGAGAAAATAATAAGAACATTTTTTTTTTCGCATTAATCAGTAAATTTAATCAGTTTGTGTTCAATTTTGTTTATACTTTTAAAGCTTACTTTAGAGAGTTTGTGTATTTTTATTTCTTGTACAGTCCTTGAATATCACAAAAATTCTATTGACAAATATAACCCATGTCTTTATAAAATCATTTAAGTAATATGTAATTATGAAGGTTAATAAATTTTGTGTTGTTTTCAATAAATACAGCATTTATTAATCATGATTACTAATTTATAATGATTTATTATTAAAAAGAAGCCTCAATAAAGTATACAAAGTTTAGTTGTTTAGTAGATATTCCGATTAAGCCAACGCAAAAATTTTTATCCCGTGCCAGATTTACTTACTTAAAATTCATAACTCAATAATTAAAATATTTTTATAAAGATTGTCCATCCGACAAAATATGCGTTATTTTAACTGGCCTATTTTTTTCCGATTTAAGCAGAATAGAAGGCCGTGTATTTAAGTAGGCCATGGTGGTACTTATTTTATAACCGCTAAATCAGTTATTGAAAAAGTACGTATTCAGCATGCTAAGCTGGTGCTGCAGCTAAATATTGATGTAGAAGGAAATGATGGCCATGACTGTCTTTTATGTCTTGTAGATTTAGATGATAGGGAAATCAATATTGTTTACAATTTAGCAGATCTAGAAGATAGCATAAATATAGAAATTTTATATTCTATTGTCTATATTGCTGGTTATGTTCAAAAGTGTTCCCCTTAAGAAATTGGAGATGATACAGTTACATATGAAAAATACGGAAATTATTTAAATAATTTAAATAGGGGAGGACTAACTATTCCATCTGACACTTTAACTCAGTGGTCCTTATTTTGCTATATATTTTTTTCTTTATTAGATAAAAGAGTTTGCAGAACATTTCTGATTCGACAGTTTACATTTATTGCAGAATTCTACGAATTTTCTATTTCAAAGAAACAATGCCAAATACTGGGAAAAA